AGCAGGAAACAAAACAAGGCAGAGTTTTAATTGTTCTTAAGGACAATGAACTTCCAATGAAGCACCTAACTTCTGCCTAGTGAAAACTTTGCTATTTATATAGAAGACCAACCCCTTCTGCTGCTCCATTCTTTCAGGCTTCCAAGCTGCTACACATACCAGGACCCATCCGTGGCTGGGTGATAACACAGGCTTGGTTGTACCTCACAGAATTTAATTATAACATTATAATTAATGTTATATGACTGCATTATTTATAACATGCTATCAACGAGAACACACAATATTAGGCCTACTGAGTTACCAGCAGTATCAAAGAAAGTCAGGAAGTATCTCTGAGAACCAACGTGTCAGACAGCAAGGAATGGCTTAGGGAAAGGAGGTAGGAAAATTGGTAAGTTGGGAGGCAGAGCTACAAAAGAAGAGTTTATCAGAAAAAACTTGGCAGAATGTAGCAATTTTGCAAAGCACAGAAAGAGAAGATACAGAGATGGTGAGAAATTATAGAGAGGGAGCTGCACGTGAGCTGTGAACAGGGACAACTGATAGGGACATCAAAAATACAAAATGTCAACCTTTTAACAGGTTTCTCTATTCCAAGATCCAAAATACCCATTTGGAACTATGCCACTGTGACAATGGGTGGGTAACACCCATCTGGAAGACCTTTTCACCTGAAAAAAAGGGTTCTTGCTTGAAATATTATGTGGGAGGATGTATCTTCTGCTAGATGGAAGCCAGGCTTCTCCCCTACACTGAAATCAAAACAGATTTGGTGTCATAACCAGGTATGTGCTTATGCTCCCCTGGAAAAATTAAATAAATAAATAAGCAATTTTATTCCTTTACAGAGGTACTGCTTTAAAACCTGGAGACCAGGAAAGGATGTTGGTATGAGGACCAGCCAGGAAACAGCAGTTAGCATCTGCCACCTGGGCTGCAGATAAAAGAGAGAAAAATTTGGGGTGGGCTTGTAACACAGGATACAGAGCAACCACTGGCAAGGAGTAAGTGCAGGGTTTTTTTTCCTCTCCTGGAAAATGGTAAGTTGTATGTTTTGGCCCATTGCATAAAGACTTAATGTTTGAGGCCCTAAGTAGGGAAGTAGGGGAAAGTACCTCTTTCCAAAGGGGGAAAACAGTGGTTTCTACCACAGTGGTGAATTTTAAGCTGGCTTTAGCCTTGGTTAGCGTCAGACATTTTTTGAATGCTCAAACAACATGCAAGGCAACAACCAATTTGGCATGTAGGGGAATGCAAGTGTTCTTCTTATCAAGACACTTGTGTGTTACAGAAAGAAAGTCATAAGGCTTCCTTAAGCATCAGACCTGAACACAGCTTTAAAAGCCCTGTTTGGGTTCATCTGTCAATATTAAAGAACATTTCATAAAATGCTTTCATATTTTTTCGAAATTTCTCCTTTAAACTTATAAACAGATTTATTCATGTACACAATTTCTACTGAAGTGAGACTAACTGATATAATGAACCCGACATCTACAAGGATTCATGTTCCCCACTGGACAGGGGCCTAGACTAACGATAAGTGCAATGGTCTAAGAAATGTGTCCAGAATAATGTCTCCTCAAAACTAAAGGAAGGTTCTGCAAACTCTCCTTACAAGACAGATGGAAATAAAACAGTCTTACACATGCTGAAAATCAGAAACCCTCTGGCAGGGCTGCAAAGAGGGGAACCACTTGCATAATAGCTCATACATGTTGTTTTTTTGATTACCCAAAGATCCAAGGTTTGAAAATGTACGTATACACAATGTATATGTACAAGACTCTGAAGTTCAATTAGTTGCCCCAGGAATCTGGGTCTAGAAGTGTCATTTTACACAAATCAGTGCTTAGATACTGCAGGGATAGACTCACAGTTTATAAACTGAACTAGATAAGCGAGATCTGTCACTGAAAAAACAAATAGTGCTACTGCAATTACTAATAGTTTTTTGGTTTGTAAATCACTTGTTTTAGTGCAGTTGTGGTGGGCAACAGTAGAAGAGCCTCTCCAGCCCTGCTGGTCCACCATATGTGCCAGGAGAGGAAGTCCTACAGCCTGTGGCCAGCATCAAAGCACGATCAGGGAGAGCAAGATGTGCAGAGGAACCAGCAAGAGCAGGACCACATCTCACAGCTTTCTCAGTGGAGCCACTTTCTCAAAGTAGCTTGGAGAGAGGAGCAGGATGGGAATGACCATGAGCAATGAAATGTCCAGGGGGGAAAGGGGGCAAGCCTTGCTGATTTGCCTCACGTAGGTCATCTCCTAGAAGTCTGTAAAGAGCCATCCTCAAGGAGAAGGAGATATTGGTGGAGGTGTAAAGGGAAGAGGCTCGGCTCCTCTGGCTGCTGGGACTACACAAGGGCATTGTCACTGTTCAAGCTTTGTTCAACTCGTCCCCACAATTTTACACGTTTAAAGCACAAGAAACATGATGTCTAAATGAAATACTAAAATAAACAGCCAGAGAAGCAAAGCCACTCAAAATCTGACCATGCTCAGGCTGGAAAGTTTGTTACGTGTGTATAAACACGGCTGTGGTCTAGCATGTGAACAAACATATTTTTATCTGAAGTGAAATATCCAGACATTTAACGTCCATTTCCATGGACTCCTAGACAGCGTAAGGTTAGATCTGAAAAAAATAAACTACCACTCTCATTGTACACGCAATTGCATGTGCAACTCTCATTCAGAGTAAGACTTAGGCCTGGAATTTTTGAGTGATTTAATCTGCTTTAAAAAAAAAAAAAGGTTAATTGGAGGATTACGGAACGCAAAATATTTGAACACATTTTGCTATTTTTCTGCAACCGTGCGAGGACGTTTCCTCAGTGTGCATTTAACACCAGGGCGTTCAGGGACCCGTCTGCTCCACTGCAGCGCTCACCACCAGGCCGACCACCCAAGCAGCACACACGTTCCTCCAGATCCGAGACGCAGGCCTTGCCAGCAAGGCCTGCATCACTGCCAGGGGCTGCTCCCACACTGCCGGCGCCGGTTCCAGCTCCCGCTCTGTTCTCTGTGAACGCCTTCCCTCCAGGAGCACAGGTTAATTCTAGCTCATTTTCTTCATAAAAGTATAATTTAATTTCTACTCCGGCCCAAGAAGCCAAGGCATTTTGAGCTAATGATAACAACACTTCTAAGACGGCCCATCTAATTTACAGCTGTTCTTTCACTCCCCACTGAAAAACCCAAACACTTCTAATATAAGTTTGTTTGGACTTCTTCATACATTAAACTCAGGAACAACTGTGGGATATATGGAGCCAATCTTGGCTAATAAATATTTACAACCAGACAATTAAGATTCCTCCCTAGGACTGCAACTTTCCCACATCAGTTTTATCTTAGACAACTTTAGCATTGCCAATAACCTTAATAAATACTGCACTAGTGAGTGCAAATTGTCACTTATGCATTTTTATGATCCAAACCAAGTTTTTAAATGGAAATACTAGCTGATATTAGCACTTTTCTCTCAAACAAAACCTTAAGTTACTGGCTCCATTAATAACCATGCAGCTCAGTGGATGAAGTGCAGGATAAAACCTGACTTTTACTGCCTTCTCTGCCACAGAGCTGCCTGAAGGACTTTAGGCAAATCAGCTTGCCTCGCTTTGCCTCAGTGTTATAACATCTGTACATGGGAAGGGCTATATAAGCCCAGTATTAGTTATAATTATTTGTTGCTGTCACTTGGAATTTCCCTCAAGGCTCTCAAGTAACAAAATGGCAGCGTCTTCATGGGTACTTGAATGAGCCCTCTAAAATTTCAAAGACTTTGACATTCTAGATTACAGTCAAACATTGCTTTGCAAATGGAAAACATTTTGACCTGCCCAGCATACACTTAAAAATCCTCAAAACTGACTATAAAAATAATGTGAGGTTATAATCCACGCAGTATCTCCACAATATATGAGGCAGATAAATACCTGATAATATAAACACGCCTGTATAAGCTACAATCTGAACCGCACAGCCGCTTTTGGCCCAGGTCCGCCAGCCCGTTTCCCAGCGGTGCGACCTGCAGCTCCACGTGCTTTCGCAGCACGGCGCGGCCGTGACCCCCGAATGCAGCCGTGCTGCAAACGGCCCCATGCAGCCCCCGTGCTGTTAAGCAGCGTGCAGCTGCTGGACCGCTGCCACGGGAAGCAGAATAGGCTTGGCCTCGTTCCTGCGTGTGCATTTGGGATTTGCTGCTCCCAAAGACAGGCCCTGACCTTGACCTTGGCCTTTTAAATTTACGGATTGGTTACAGGGAGCTGAGGAATGAAAATACTTGCAGCTCCTTTGGGTTCTCCACAGCAGATGGCTGCTGCAAAGCGTCAGCATCTGCACGTTTCTACGTAACGTTTCTACAATTCTATACCATGTAATGGTGTTGGGATGCAAGGCTTGCGCCTTCTCAGAGGTGGCCTGGAGGCGGGATTTTAACAGGTACTGGTGCTCTAGTAACTTCTTTTGCTCAAACATGACTTTTTTTTCTCTTTCAAGAGGCATCTGAAGTATTAATTCCTGATCCTCCTCTCTCCCAGGCCTTTACCTTTGGAATACAGTAGCTGCCTACTGGTTTTGGTCAGGCATACATCCAGTGTTTTAGTTGGTCAAGCAAAGTTCCCCTCCATTTCAAGAAACTCTGTTGAAATCAATGAGCCTGAGAAAACCACAAAGATGCGCCAAGTATGTAAGTTTGGGATAATAGCATGTCTCTAGAAGGACTTTCCCTCCTCTGGGAATAGTAGTAAAAATTTCAACCTTTAATATGTAGGCCTTGAAGAATCCACTTTTCCACTTCTTCGCTAGATCAGGAGCCTCTCTCTGTCCCTCATAAAAGGGATATGAAAATATTTTTGCTGGCTACCAGCTTCTGTAATGCAATGGTCAACTATTTAGTTCCATAACTAAATAGATGTTAAATGCATGGAGAGTTTCAAGCTTTCTTCTTGGGACTAGTCTCAATGTTTATGTTACATCAGCTACCTTACCTTCCACAAGAGCACAGCCAGCAGCAGGAAGATGAGAATTCCCACCAGCAAACTGATGGCAATGATCCATCCAACAACATACCCACGAGGCTCCAGGTTGTGTAAAGCTTCAAAGACCACCTACAATGCAATTAGAAAAAAGAAATTATGATTGGAAGTTGCACTGTTTTCTCTCGTACTCATCAAATATGGAATGTGCTCATAATTTTGTGCTTTCCATCTATTTCTTTTGCAAGGGTCCCCTGCTGTTTTTTCTTCTCTTTCTATATAGCCTGTATGACAAAGAAATATATCCTGTGACATGCTTTCCTCAACTGTCTGCTTTAAGAAGAAAAGAGAAGCAAATTATACTGACTGAATTTCCCTCTCCTATTTCAATCAAAACTAGTTTCTCAGTGGAAAATTCAAATTTTTTTATCCTCAATAAGGGCTATTTCTTTGTTAAATTTTGCAATTTAGTATCCAGCAAATGTGGTAAGGCAGCAGTGATTTTTTAAAAGGCAGCAAATTTGTTTTGCCTGGCTTTGTTTTTGTTTGCTTTGAAAGGCAAAGCAGTAAGTTTTGCTCCCTCCTTCACAAAGCATTTTCACCATCTTTGCTTAAAAATTTCAAAGTCGTGTTGGTAGATAGGGACTGTTAAATCAATCTTAATTAAAAGGAAGCCAGAAGGACGGGATAATGTTTTGCCAGGATGTCCCCATAAAGAACTACTCATAAATATACTTCATCTCAGTTTCATAGACCAGTGGTGATTAAGACCATAACCTTTCTGGAAGAGGGACTTGAGCACAACTGATTTACACACACTTGTTTCTTATCACTTAGACACTAACAGGCATTTGATGACAATGAGACATAAATGTGTAACAAATGGGCAGAAAAGATGTTATACACAGATGCTATTTTAGCACAACTAATCCCTGTACATATTCTTGTAACAAGTATCAGCACGATGCTCAAAATAGCTCTCAAGTTATTTCTTCACTCAAGAAAAGAGACTGATTTGAACATTCATATAGCAGCACAAAGCCTTTATAAGGCTTTTGAGATATCTTACTGAACACAAAGTCAGCTCCCTTATAGCCAAGACTAGCACAAGGGAAATACCAGAGAGACAAAGACCAAAGACCAAATCTTGCGCCTTTCTCGTGCCTCTGCGCCAGGCTGGAAGGGTGATCTGATGATAGCAGCCCATTTCTCATGGAGGTTAGGGTATACATCCATCTTGTGGACACAGAGCAGATGACTGTTTCTTAGAAGATAAGACTCATGTTATTTTTCTTTCTGACTCCAAGGAAAAAAAAAAGAAAGAAAAAAAAAAAAAAAGAAAAAAAGGCTTCTGACACTTTGGATATTGCCAGTAGGGACTTTTTAGGCCACCACTGAATGCAAAATGAGGTGTTTTCTCTCCACTGCACAGAGAATAAATGTTCGCACAGCACAACTCCTGTCACTGTAGCTCTGCACATCAGACTGTCAGCGGGCAGAGCCAAGAATAGTTGCAGAGATCAAATCATTCATCATCTCTATGGCAAGAGCCCTACATCACAGCTTCGAAACACGCTGGCTAGAGTAGTTTGGCAGTACATTTCACAGTCACAGCTCAAGCTATATGAACTTGGGGGGTACACAGTAACAGCAGCTCCTTATCAATCTGCTCTCATCTAGCAATTTTGAATCAACTTACAAGCATAAAAAATCCCGTTCATGGTTTTGTGGCTTGGAGAGGAGAAGGGATGTTGCATATATTAACTCTGTATGTTACCCCTCCCAAGCCCCCACATACTGGCTGCATTAGCAAGTGGTCACAGCAACGAGTTTTGGTGAGGAAACAAAGAAAACAAAACCAAAAGAAAACAACCCCAAACCCAAGTGAACCAGACTGGGCAAGCGGTCAACGCGCATCGCACTTCCGAGCTGCGAGCACAACGTCCCTGCAGCGAGCAGTGGGAGACTGGTTCGTCCCGTCCCACGGGGACTGGTGACACTAGCAGACGTGGTCCTGCCTTTGAACCTGTGGAGTCTGAGGAGCGACAACTGCTCCTACAACCAAGGAGTCTCAGCAAGAACAACGTGTCCCACCTCGACTCCATGGCACAGCTCCTGCAGGGCAACTAGCATCACAGGGAGGGCAATGCAGCCTCCAGCCTAGCACGTTTCCCACAGTTGTGAAATCTAAGTTACTGATACAAAAGATAAGAGCGCGTGTGAGAGAGAGCGTGAGAGAGATGATGGTGGGGATGAGAGCAGTCTAGCTCAGAAGAACGTGAAACGGTCATAAAACATGGAACAAATTCCAGGTTTCTTTCCATCCTGACCAAATGCCAAAGAAATGCAGTGAAATACACAGTTGTCTTTATGATATGAGTTTTATGTTTATATTTCACACTGTATTCTGGGCTTCTTAAAGGAGGGAAACTGTAAAAGCTTAGGTTTCTTCCTCCTAAAATGTATTGCTTTTTGCTTATGCAAAATGTATTGCATTTTTATGTATTTGTACCAGAAAAGACAGCACCATCAGGAGACACAGGCTTACCAAAAATTGTTATTTTAGTTCTATATCATCAGAATATTTCTGGTGCTTTAAGTTGTACCACTTGACTTGTTGACAGAGATTCTAAAGATCAAATCTTGTGAGTTCCTTGTATCTCCGCACCAGGTTGGAAAGACTTGTCTCCTGCTTGAGTTGTCCATTCCAGTGCCATTTTATTTGAGAGAACTTCCAATAAAGACACCATTTTCACATATCAATATATATACATACACATGCACATATACATATATTTCCATATACTAACAAAAAAGTTCAAGGTCTTCAGAGAACAGATACCTGAGGTATCTTTGCTACCTACTACCCCCTATCACCAGGAAATTATCTGTATTTTATTAGTATTGTGTATACTTCTGCTCCTTCACCAAGCGGGGTGTTTCTATGTGCCTGACTGCTCAAGAAATCCATAAAAGGATTACACAACAGCTGGAAAAGTAAAATAATGAAAAGTAAAAGAAAACAAATGAAAACATTAAGGCAGAAAATAACCCACTTGCAAGAGGATTTCAAAGCTTCTGAAGGATGTTCACATCTGGCTCAGCTAGGCTGGGATGTTATGGTCTTTTCAAAGCTAGAGTGGAGTGGAGCCATACACTGCTCAGTGCTCCTAAAAGGCATGGGGAAGGGGCATTCCCATGTGCATTAACAAAAAAAAAGTCTGGGTAGTCCCACATGGAGAAGGGGGAGAGGGCAGTGAAGTACTACAGACTGTTCCTTCCATCTCAGACACAGAGAACAGGTCAATGCCCAAAGTCTTCTGAGCTGCAGGCAGACAGCAAACGCTTTGGCAAGTGGATACGCATACAAATCCTTCTGTTATAAAGACCTCCCAGAACACAATAAATTAAATTTTAAGGCTTTTCTTTCTTTTATTTCTTTTCACTCTATATATCACTGTGAAAATAAATAAAATTAAACTCCATACAAAAATTCACTTGGCAACCACTTGTCTGTGTTAAATTAATCCTGGGATGACTGGTCTGAAAATGAGAGCACAGTGAAGTCTACCCAGGAAGAGAGAAAGCTTTGAAGGCTTGATGAAGGTACACATGTGCTGAGCTTGAAAATGAGCAGCTGTAAGCTAGCCAGGGACCTCCAGCTTTCCAGGGCATTTTGTCACAGACGTTAGCTTGGGTTCTCCCATCCTCTGCTCAACTTCATATGCTCTGACTCAGAGAGACTCAGAGCATTTGGCAGCTTTGGACACAAGGAAATTCAGCCTCCTCTCCCTTCCCCATTAGAATTCACGAAGGGAAATCCTTTTGCACTGTAAGAGCACTCCTCCTCCCATATGCAAGCACAGAGCAGATGTTGACTCTTGGATCTCATACGTGGTCACTGTGGTCTCCTAGAGCTCATCATTGGTCTTGCCTCACATGTACAGAAGATGGAAAACAAATCTTCATGGAAATACAAAGACTCAAGAAAACATGGCGTGTTTTCTGGAAATACCATACTAGAAGAATTTAAATAGACTATAAAAACTATAGAGAAAGAATTCTCACTCGTTTCCACTCATCCATATCCAGAGAAATGATTACTGGTAAACTGTAAAAACAACAAATACTTGAAGGCTGCATCTATTTTAAAACTTTTTCAAAGACAGCCTGGTACCCAACTTACAGATCTTTACATAAGCTATGGCATCCCCTTTGGAGATGGTCCATTACAGTTTATCTGAACGGATATTTAAAGGTTGTGCTTACTACAATGCATCAAAAACATCAGCCTTCCTGTTTTTTTTGTCTTGCTTATAGTTTTCACTCTGTGCACTAACGTGTAAAAGCACACAGTGAAATAAGGGCAGCTAGTTCTAAAATTCAAATGGTTTTAATAGGCCTGTATCTCAACTGCAGATAGCCAAAAGGCCTTTTAAAAATTACCCATGATAAAGTGTCTACAAAAATGTCTTTCACTGTTCAGAAACACCTTCATGTGCAGAATCACACAACTGCTCAGAAAGAGCTGCTGTCCAAACAGACATGGTACAGCAATCAGTGGTCAATGAAAGGAAAACAGAACAGGATTTTAAAAAGGAAGGGAGGAATATGAAGCAAGACATTTTCTCTCTCCTGTTTCTAGTTTCAGCTGAATAACTGTGGCTTGCAACAAGTATTGTTTCTTTCTGCATTCCACAAGACAAGGGAGGAAAAGAGAGGGGAAAAGAATGAATACCTTGAGCCAAACCACATGTCTTAAATTTTTCCCTGAACATGACCCTATATAAAACATACAGCAAGGGAGAAGCCAACCAACATATGGAAATAGCATAAAGAGCAAATAACAGTCACATTAGAAAAGGCCTGAAATTACAAATTGATGTTACTTGACTACAATACATCAAGCACGCTTCTCTGCAGCTAGAGCTTCCCAGGAACCAGGAGCAAGTTCTTGTTTGAGGCCTTACACAGTTTCCCAGCACACACAGTGAACTTTGTAATTGTGACAGCTCAAGGCTTGGTGAAAAGCTGTCCGAGAACAGGAAAAGAACAACGTTTTTGGGGAGAATATTTTCTTCCTTTTTGTTTGTTTTTCTCTGAGCATTAGATAACAATTAGATAACAATGAATTATAACAGAGTTGAAAGCATTTTTGAATTTTGAGCGTCAATTAATAGTAATCCCACATGCATTACACTGTGTCCACCACTGAAAAAAATCTAAAATCTTTCATAGAGTATAACATAAGGCAGAGACATCCTGGCTTCTCCCATTTCAGATGTGCCATGGGTATCAAAGTCAAGTGTTACTTCAGTCATTAGTGAAACAGCCATTAAATAGCAAGATTTAAGCCATTAAGTGCAAGTTGCAGAACTAAAGGGAGATCTAGCAGTGTCTTAACAGTCAGAGTTGCAGGTCATTTATAAGGCACATTCCCAGGGAAGACTAGCTATGTGAATAACTGACTTGCTCAGTTCAGCTGCCAAACCTATTTTTTTAATGTTCTTTGGAATGGTCCAGAAAACTGACAAAGAAAATAAAACAGAGAGGAAAAAAATGGGATCCTGTCATACAAAAGATTTTTTTTTCAGACAGTTCTAATAAAACAGAAATTTAAAAAAAGAAATAGGAGCAAGACTAGAGTTACAGACATGGTGGCGATGACAGTGATCTCTGCAGCACCTTAAGGCAGTACATAAATGGAGGCTGAATTCCTTCTCTGACTATATGGATTTAACTCCATTATCCCCCAGGTGAATGCTTTAGTGGAGGATGTCAGTCTTTTCCAAAGGCGCCTTGACCTCCATACGTCTCCTTCACAGCTGCCTCTGAGATGGAATCACTGAGAGAACAGGTTCATGGGCTGGCAGTCAGGTTGATCATTTGGGGCAAGAGGATTAAGCAAGAGGTGGGATATAGATCACATACCAAAAATACAGAGCAGGAGAAGAAATAGAAAGCAGTTCAGAGAAACTTTGATCCTAATCTAAGTGTGAAATAGGAAAGGAAGCTTAAAATTTATTTCATCAGTCCAAAAGAAATTTCAGTTTAGGTATGACTCTTCTTGTGCTTTTCATGACACACATGCTCAGACACTTGGCAGTAGCAAGCCTCCTATTTTTGGATTACAAAGTCCAACATCTTCTTCTCCAGAAGATTGTAAATAAGACCCCATTCAAGCCACAACTGACTAGTGAATTAACCCTCAATTTTCACTATATCCACTTGACTTTTCAACCTATCAACACAAAACACAGTATCAGGTCATACATGAATTCCAGCAGTTAGGATCAAAGGACCATTTATATGAATCTCTCAAAAGTTAAACCCCTTTGTCCAATTTCACAGCACTCAGAATATCATCCATTACCACCTTAAATATTTCATATTGGCAAATCTAAAATTACTGTGCTGGGGATTCAAGTCTCTACTACATTTTGAATGAAAATCTGAAATAGATTAAAGCAGACATTAACCTCAGAGCTTGAAGCTAAACCTAATGTTGGCACAGGCATCCCACAGACAATTACAGTTTTGGCTACCAGAAGGCAGGCTCTCCTACTCCCCATAACATCATCCCCAAACATGATGGCATGGCTAGTCTGTCTCAGGAGGCCTAAGTGCTCTCACGTGCCCATCTAACCCCTAAACCCACAAATTCCAGCTTGCCAAGCTCCCTCAGTGATCTCCATCCCTCTGGGAACATGACACTTTCCTCTCCAGGCTTATTCACGTACCGTTTTTTCCTCTGGACTCCCATTGGGCACCTCCACAATCCTCAGGGCTGAGTCCACCTGCACCTTTGCCCTTGTGACGAACTGGATGACTGATGAACTGTCCTGACAAGGAAAAACAGGAAGGATTAGATTTGGGGTGAAGAGGAAGCACTCCCACACCTCAAAAAAAAAAAAAAAAAAAAAAAAAAAAAAAAAAAAAAAAAAAGACAAGAGGAACTCCCTACACTTGCCAATGCAGTAACTATATTGAGATAATGCTTAATGGCACGTTGGGTTGGGATTTAAAACAGGCTAAAACCCTGCTTTGAAAAAAGTACCTTAACATCATAACATCGACAAAGCCCAACACTTTACCTTAGATTAAAACAAACATCACAAAATCAGATGTGTTGAATTTTAAACTCACAATTTGTATTTGGCCTGCTTTTCATGCTCCCCACATTTACCACACAAGCAGAAGAAAGAGAGAATACTGCCAGTAAGGCCTGGCAAGTTCAAAATCAACCATCAAACACAAATTTCTTTGTGTTTTTCAAATGAGGAGAGAAAGATATAGGAATGCTGGGATAGACCCAAGTACAGCCTGAGATAAAAACTGCACAATTATTTGAATCCATGCACTGCAAATAGCTTAAATATTCATTTGCTATATCCCCATATTAACATATATTATTTTAAATTTTATTCACTGCTTTGTGATGTACATATTGCAGTAAGCTTCTATTTTAATGCATGGTAGTTATTCCTGTGCTGCTCACTTTGGGTAGGGTGGGTGAGGAGCAGCAAAGGCTTCCATTGAGGATACCAGCCCAAAGACACATTTAAGTGATATTTATCTTTTAAAAATCTGCTTATGGTCATCTTGGAAAGGACACAACAAATGGGATGGATTCTCGCTACTCCCAGGATGGATTTTTCAAAATGCTTATATAGGTGCACTCAGTTACTTGCTTGCATACTTCTGCACGTCTGTGTGCATGTAACATAAATACCTGAAACTTCAGGTCCTGCCTACATCAACACATCAGTGGGATTCAGCCAGCTCAGAGCTATCAACTGCTGTAGCAACAGGTCTCTAATAAAGGCCCTCTTCAATGTCGTTAACCTATCAGCTATCAAAGACAGGTTTTTATTTATTGTTATTAATTGCTCATGTTAACAGCCTTCTTTCTCACTGATTATTTTATAATCTTAGAAAATCTAGCCCTAAATCCACAGTCAGCATTTTTCCAAGCAGAGGAAAATACAGCAAAATTTAGAAGATTTCTTATTTGATTCAGTGGTTTTATGAAAGATGGGAACTAACTTGTAACCATTTGTTTCTTGTCACAACTGTCAAGCGCAGTGTTATTATGGCTTCTTTGAATAATAATCATTTGGACTGAAAAAAAGGACAAAAAAAGCCCTATCTCCGTTTACACAGAGGGAATGACAGATAGTTGGTCACAGTTTATGTGCACATACTCCATTTCTCAAGACTTTTAGAAAGCTCTGGTCTTTTAACACCATGCATTCACAGAGGGGTTTTATTGTTTCTCAATGTATTGATACATTGGATTTATTTCTGTCTTAACCGTTAAGAAATAGGACTAACACCTTCCTTTTATGCTGCTATAAATTGATCTGTTTCTTTGACAACATGACTTTTTGTTACACACCTGTAAACAGAGGAAGGAGTTCAAGTCTCAAGTACACTGATGCTGCTGTAGATATGCATAGATATGCTATGTAGATATGCTAAAATTCACATTAAAGAAAAATTTCAAGGGAAGCACATACCTTCTTCAGTATTTCAGTATTCAGCAGGGTGTAAATACTTATATCACAGGACTCTGCTTTTGCTAGGGAGCTTAAAACGCAGCGCATAATTAAGCAGGACCTGCCTGGTCTTTCACAGTCCTACAGGAAACAGGAAAAAAATGTTATTAGGCACGTCAGGAAAGGAGAAAATAACTCCCTGAAAATACTCTGTGACGGCAAATGCTCCAATGAACCAAGAAAATACTAAAATAATAATAATAAAAATAATAATAATAAAAAAAAATCTGCTAAAAACTACATGCATCCGAAATAGCAGCAACTTTCAGAAGAGATGCAGGTTCCAAACGTCAGGGAAAACAGTGCAATGGAGCTAGGTGACGTGGTCACACTCTGTGCTGAGCCCCAGCATGAGCCTGGCCATCCCATGGGCCTCTGATGGATACAGGACTTTGCATCCCACTTTGGGCAATTTCCTCCCCACTGGATTTCCTGAGGCCTCCTCTATGCAAAAAATAGATACTGAAAAGCACTAAATATCCTCCCCAAACATTATATCAGTATTGGTCTACATGCACCAAACTCTGTACCGAACTATCTGCCTAAGTTCTTTGGGATGATCCATGCCAAATTTTCCATAAAATACAACACATGCTAAAGTTTGTCATAGGTGGGCTTTTCTTACCAATACTTTTCTGCCAGACTTGGTGAAAAAAGCAAATATTGTGTGGAAAATATTCTCATTCTCTTGAGGAATGACGCATGGGCTGGGGTTTTTGTAAAACGAACAGTTTCCTTTGTCCTGACCAACCTGCAAGCACAATAAAAACAACAATTATTACTCAGAATTAAAACTGCATGACAGGGGAGGCTGGGGTTAACTTGGCCAAGCAAAACACTTATATTTGAGCTGCATGTCTGGACTCCCTCTATGAGACAGCAGAAAACTTATTCATCCTAAGGCACACATCTAAAATAAGTCAGATAAACTATATTCTAGAAAAGCTTATCTCTGTTGTTTGGATAGGATAAAAACATCTATAACGTAGCTCAGAGGTAGATGCCTGTGATCTAGATGTCTGAAGACACAGGATAAAAGTCTCAGCCAAAGATGCAAAACATCATGTAACATTGCAGGTCCATCCCTTTCTCTTCTCTCTTCTCTTCAGTGTGATTGTATTTTTTGGTGCTTTAGCCAACTAGATTGTTTTGCAGTTCCTATTGAAACATACGAAGTAACAAAATCTTTGTGAAATGCACCAACCTAGACACAAAATCTTCACTCCTTCCTTCCTCATAAATAACATTAAAAGTAAAAAAATGTATTGTAATGTTAACTTGTTTACTTGGACATAAAGATAGATGCTTGAAGAAAGTTTACCAAAATTTGATAAAATGAGCCAAGGTCTTTAATCAAGATAAACTTGCACTAGAAAAGCCTTCTTTTTGCACCTTATGTATTTTCATGGAGGAAAATCTACTGGAATTTAACAGAATCTATGACAATAAAATATCAGCAAATTCTGTCCTCATCCCAAAAAGCTGTAAGAAAAAGGGAGGAAACTTTTCACACAAACCACTTCAACAAGGAACATTCTTACTATATAACTTGCTGTTAACTTCTCCCGGTCCTCTATTGTGAGAAAGAAAAATTGTATCTTATTCATTAATAAACAAATCAAAAGAGCTGTTACAGGTACAAAATTGCTGCATAATTTGAAAACCTTCTTTATTAACAGTTCTTAGGTAAGTAAGCTGAACTGTTGCAAAACAAAAACAAAACCCAAAAACGCTTCCCTACTTTGAACACTATCTTCCATCTCTTGCTAAAATCCCTTTTATGCACCCCTGGTCCACAAACCTTTACAGTCTCTGACATACTGCCTCATAACCTGCCTTTGCATGATGCATATTTGCATTCCCATCTAATACAGACACAAACAGCTACACAGTTTACAGCTTCCTTGGGATCAACAGAAAATTAAGACTATGATGTTCTCCTTTTGTCCAGGCCACCTGAAATGAGTTTGCATAATTTACCGTATGCAAGAGATTTGCAAACACACTGACATTTATTTTCTTTGAACTTTCATATTAAAATTAGATCCAGATCAACCAGAAGGTTTATGTTAAATCAAGAGCATCAAAGAGCCAAGATCTATTCAATACCTGCTCTTTCTTCATAAAAGCTTGAATTAGCAGATAGCTGGACAGATATCATTAGATTCATGCAATAGATACCAAAAGTATGAGTTTTTGCACTATCCCATGGAATGAAGCAACCTAAATGTGGTTCTTTTTTTCTCAAAGTAATTTTCTTTGCTAAAAATGAAGCTTGGCTACACCTCACCCTTTTTAAAACACCTTAGCTGAAAAACAGACAGGCATCTCTGGTAGACTATGTCTGATTTTGAAAATATCCTTTCCTCTCCACCAACTACACAGTAAACTTGCATGACAAGGCTGTTAAAAGCACGACTGAGTCCTCCTTGACATTTGTGCTATTCTGTAAGAGACTGGAGGTCATCAATACTCTGTTACAGCAGCCAAAGTTAGATGCCACTTGTTATTATTTTTGGAAAAAGTTATATGAATTCAACTGGTCAGCAATTAAGTCATATCTGTGGGTAGTCTGCAATCCATTAGTGTATGCTGAAAGTCAATGGGCAGGAAGGACACATTACAGTTGAGAGGCACTTTAACGTTCTCTTAGAACTTTAGATCTTAGAAGATTCTGAGATCTTCTAAGAAATGGAAATTAAAAAATCTAAAAAAAAAAAAATTAAAAAAAAAATCCAAGGTACTGAAAATCCTGACTCAGGGCAGCCTTGTTTTCTAATGTGGAGGATTTCTAGAAGGAACAATACACCTAGTGCCTTGGCATATTCCCCATCTACCATCAGCTCTCCCTCAACTTTAGATACATGTAACATCCTTTCTGCTTGCCTGGAACTGCTCTCTGTATGTGGCACTTTCTAACAAGCCTTCATGGCCTTTAAGAAAACATCAATTTATGTTAACACATATTTTAAGGGTCCATGACCCTTGTCTGTAACACAAAATTCATGGACTGGCTGGAAGCCACTGCTCCCTTTCAGGCTCTACCTCAACCAGCTAAACATCCATCAAAGGTGAGACTCTCCATAGCTCTGTATCCTGCATAGGGTGGCAACCAAATAGAAAGAAATGAAGAGCAATTTCCAAGCAGGAAGTTGGAGAAGTCAGCCAGGGGCCAAGCACATCGAAGGGGAAATTGGGAGTTGGCATGGGGTTAAGTATGCGAGTATGATGGGAGTCCCTTGGAGGAATGAGTCTGAAAAATGGAAAGAAAAATGGGAAGAAAGAGGGAGAAATCCCTCTTGCTGCCAGGGAAACTGCTGCCATGCTACATATAAGTAGCTGACTGCTAACCTATTATTATTATTAATGCAAACATTTTATATTTCACAAACGCAAACAGGCAAGCAAAAGCAGATTTCCAACCCTGTTCCTACTACACAATTCTAGATACCCACCAATGCAAATTAATTCATTATAGCATTAACATTTGAAAAAATAAAAATAAAAAATAGAGGCTTTTCTTGTCAGCCTGATTTCCCTGCTGAGTTAAACCATCATCAGTTGTAAGAAGTCAGTAAGAGAATAAAATTAAACTGATACAAAATGAGTGTAAACGTGTGATCAAACTGTGAGTGTGCATGAGGGACCCAAATCCCACTTTTGAACATGGACAAAATAAGAATGCAAGTTCAGGGAAAGCATCATTCGACACCAAATATTTGGCTGCAGGAAACATACTCAAGGTCTGAACACAGGTCAGTTGTTTCACAAAACTGTTAACAGTGCTCAACCCTGAAATGGATGCTTTTCTCATCAGCCTTGGGGTATGCTGGCTCCAAAGGACAGATTGGCTGTAGTCATCCAGAAATTGCTGCCAGATAGTTTTTACATGTTTCTTCCTTCTTACTAGTCTTTTTCTGTTCTATGTGCACACACACGCCTCGTCTGAAGTTCAAGTTTGAAAGCTGGATAACAAGTAACAGATCCTCTTGTGTTTATCCTTGTGGCAAAGCATAGCACATTCACCTGAATATTAGGTAAAAGAGGTCTAAGTGTGACCTGGTTCACCCTAGAGTGATGGAGTTCACCCTAGAGTGGGTGACTGCAATAGAAACAAATCGATAGACATGGTTGAGCTAAAGTGTCACACATGGAGAGAAAGAAAAAAAAAATGAATACTGACAAGAAATTCCAGACAAGGTCAGACTTTCAACAGTAGACAAATAAGTTATGTAAATATGTTATCTGAGTACATGCTGCATATGCCAAAAATATTTAATATTCACAGATAATGAAATATGCTTGAAACAGAGCTGTTTTGTTGATTCTGGCAATAAATATAAGAGCCACTGAAACAATAGCAAGGACTTTAAAAATTAACCCGCTTTACAGAATGCTTGAAAGATTTTTGACTAAAGCCCAGCAATGTGAGTAAGGAAAAAGAATATTCCACAAACACAGCAAACAAAGTTGCATATCCATGAGGACATGTAAGAGAGAAGCTCTGAAGTAGTGCTGTGAAAGCATTAAATTATGACAGTAGTTTTTTTACTATAAATCTTCAGCTGAAAGGAGAACACTGGGTGTACACATCTGTGCTAACCTGACTGCAATACCTAGAGATGATATTTTTGATACAGTTATCCACCCAGTTTAACTAAATGACCTGCTAACCAGTATAATCCTGCAACACTCTCCATCACTCTACAGCAGCTGGTACTGCAACCACTTGGCATATCCTAAGCAGCAACCCATAGAAATTCTACTTGCAAGAACTAGTGCTATTTGTCTAAGGAAAGCAGAGATGCTCTGATTGAAAGTTTGTGGTTCATAAGAGAGCAGTTTCTCTCTTAGATAGTGCTGTCACATGGACACAGGGAAAAGAAGACTGAGGATCCACAAGATTTATCTGCCCTCTCCATAGAAGGTTTTGGCCTAAAAATGAACAATACCTTACATGGCAACTAAAGCAACCATTTACCTCTAACACTCATGTGCTCCTTATATATCAGCCTTTAGCAGCTGGAATCCAAGAAAGAGTCATGGACGTGTACATTCCTTCTCCTTGCTATGAACTGCAAAGTGCTTAATCAACACATGAGGTGTTAAACACACCTTTTTAGATGTGTTCTAAACACATCTTTTTAGAAAGCTTTTTTAGAAAGCTCTTTTTAGAAAGCTTTTAAGCTTTTTAAACAGCTCTTTCTAGAAAGCTTTTAAGATCTCTTATAGCTTAGTGCACTCTTTTAGCAATGCTCTACAGCCCTTTTTCAGACTTTCATTGATGCATGATGTATAAACAAATGAATGTTTTTCCTTTACCTAGAATCATAGAATGCCGAAGGTTGGAAGGGACCTCAGAGGTCATCCAGTCCAACCCCCCTGCTCATGCAGGGTCACCTAGAGCACGTGGCACAGGGCTGCATCCAAGCGGGTTTTAAAGATCTCCAAAGAGGGAGACTCCACAACCTCTCCGGGCAGCCTCTTCCAGGGCTATGTCACCATCACAGTGAAGAAATGCTTCCTTAAGTTCCTGTGGAACTTCCGATGCTTCAGTTTGTGGCCGTTTCCTCTAGTCCTATCCCTGTCCACCACTGAAAAGAGGCCGCCCCCCTCCTCCTCACTGCCTCCCTTGAGGTATTTATACATGCTGATCAGGTCCCCCCTCAGCCTCCTCTTCTCCAGGCTGAACAGACCCAGCTCCCTCAGCCTTTGCTCACAGGGCAGATGTTCCAGGCCTCTGATCATCCT